TTCGGGTAATACTCCTGTGGCTTTTCTTTCGTATATTCGAAATGTCACTGATAGGATTGGCAAAATTCTTCGCAAAGAAGGTATCAGGACTACTTTTCGACACCCAAGAGAATCTCACAATATCTACCCTCTCCTAAGGACCCATTACCACCCCTATCTTCCTGTGGTGTCTATTCTATTTCTTGTTCATGTGGACATGTGTATATTGGCGAAACTGGTCGTTCCGTCAAAACTCGGATTCAAGAGCATCAAAGATGCATTCGATCAGGTCTTTTCTCCCATTCTGCAGTTGCAGAACACTGCCAAGAAACCGGTCATTCAATATTGTTCGAAAAAACCCATATTATTTCTAAAAGCCCCTTCTTTTATTCCAGGAAAATCCGCGAATCTCTAGAGATCCGAAAAAATCCCCATAATATCAATCGAGAGGAAGGATTTTACTTGTCTCCCATCTGGAATCTCAGTCTAGAACCGCCGTCCGGTCCGCCACTACGATGCAGCCACATGATTGGCCAGCGCGCGCTTCTTGACGTTCGCGCCACGAAGTGTGCCGATACGTCCCGACACGACAGGCACCGCGACTATAAATAGAGCGGTAGCGGAGTAATCGTCGGATTCACTCCCCGCCTCTCGACGCGTTAGTGTTCTGAGCTGTTGGACGTGAATCCCTGTCCTGGCATTTGGTTTTCACCTTGGCTGCGTTGAGTAGTTGAGTTACTGTGACCAAATGCCCATCTTGGTAGTTAGTATTCGCCTCTGGTTGCGTTGAGTAACTGAGTTACCGTTGCTAACTACCCATCTTCCTGTTCTTTGTTTTCTTCTTTCTTTCTTTTTTTCTTTTTTGTTCTCCTGAATAAGCTACATACAATTGTAGCGAAAACGTCGAGATGAAACCCACTTTTGGGTCACTCACAAATGACACGGTCCAAACCCGGAAGACGAATAAACTATAATTCATAGTAGGTTTGTTTTTGATATTTTGTAATTTTTTGTATTATCTATATTTGTAACTGTTTGTGGTGAGACAACAATAAATGTGTAATTTTTTTTCCTAAACCATTTTGTTTATTTATTTAAAAAAGTTCCTAACCTCTGTTCTGTATTTTTTTCTTTCATCCAGCAGGAAGTTTACTCAAAGGCGGCGTCTTTATTTTAAATAGCTAAAGGACCTTCTTGTGTTTTGTTTGTTCCAGGAGTTCATGTAAGTACCCATTTGTTTCATTTTTGTAGTTGCCCCAATCCAATCTCATTGTCCCATTCACTTATCCACGACCTAGTTCTCCAAATAAACCCTGAGAGCCGTTTGCAACAGTTTTTACAAACAACCGTTTATTTTGTTTGTCCTATCTCTAACCCCGTAATTTCTGTCCACAATTTTTAACCCCCCAATAATAATACCCTATGTGGTACTCAAAATATTCGTTACAATACTTATTTAAACATCTTTGTTCAATGTATGTATGACATCTCTTGCGTTTTCCGACATGTTCATTTTCTGTTTTCTGTTCTCCTTGTTCTAATGGGGGAAATTCTTTTAGACGTTGTTACAGGCCGATATTAATTCCTGATGTTTCTGAACTTCGTCGAACCATATGACTCGTCGCACAAATATTGAGCATATTGCGAACAATACTATCGTGGAATCAACGACGAACATTTCTAGCTACGTTGTATGATGCACACAATTTATCTGTTGTGTCAACTCCGCCTTTGGTGCGATTGTAAAAGAAGATAATAGATGGCTTCTTTTTATCTTCTGTTTCAAGATCAATAAAGAAATCTTCATGTAGACTTTAAAGTCAAAATTACACATTTTCCTTTTCTTGAAACGTAAGAAACCAAAGTGCATTCATTTTTGAAGGCAAACAAGCTACTATTATTAGCTCTCGTGTTATTTGGCAGGAATTGTGCTACTCAATTATCCTTAGTCAATATATTTGAATCGTACGGTTTCATAGTGCACGTTAATTCTCTTACAAGAATTATTCAAACAACATCAACTATAATTGATTATATTGGCAGGCCTAAGACTCTTAGGCCTGCCACCTTCCTAGATAATTGGTAAGCATGCGGTTGCCTTTATTCCTATTGTGTCCTTTAACCCACTTCAGGATGATGGTGTTACCATCCGAAGCTTGAGTTAGTGACTCGTGACACTCCACTACTAAACCTGATGTGACACGTGGTCTATTCAAGGTTAGTAGCGCTTGTCTGCTATCTGTGCAGATCATTATAGTTTTCCCTGCTATACCTTTTTGGGTTATCTCTTTTGCAGCTATGGAGATACCAGTCAGTTCTGTCTGAACTACACTGGCATTTTTGCCCATACCCCACTTTATTCTTAGGTTCAGTGATCTGGAGTATATACCGCATCCTGAGCCTCCTTTCATTTTGGAGCCATCGGTTTATATGAAATAGGCATTTGCCACGTTTGTCTCCATGCACTGTCTTGTTTCAATTTTGTAGGGTTTGTTCAAGACGAACTTTGGTTCAATTGAGTCGCAGCCTGCCTGTAGTACTGGTAACGCATCCAGCTCTCCCCGCCAGAAACGAGTTCTCAATTGTCCCATTCTACATCAAGGTTTGCACCAGCTGAGCGCAGTCGCATCATTGTCACTAGAGCCACCTCTTTGACATATATATCTAGAGGCGTGATGCCAATGATCAACTCCATTGCAGCAGTTGGCGTTGTTTTCATGGCACCTGTTATATTTATGCAAGCCATCCGCTGGATGTGGTTTAGTTTGTTAATCTCTGTTGCCTGTAGCACTTTTGGTACCCAAGCAATAGCTCCGTAAGTTAGCATTGGCCTAATGACAGCGGTGTAGACCCAGGCGATCACCCTGGGTGTGAGGCCCCAGGTGCGTCCAACCGTTCGTCGACACTGTTCATAGGCAATATATGCTCTTTTAGCTCTACCATCTAGGTGTGAGTTCCATGTTAACTTCATGTCAAGGGTAATACCAAGGTACTTCACCTCGTCAGAAAAATTTAGACTGTAGTTTAGAATCCTTGAGGGTATTAAGCCCGTGTTTCTTCTTTTCCTGGTAAAGAGGACCATCTCTGTTTTCTTAGGATTTATAGATAGTGAGTGTTCCTTGCACGATGTTTCTATTAGTCGAAGAGCAATTTGTGATCTCTCACATAGTGTGTTCTCAAACTTACCGCTTTGCACGACAGCAATATGGTCTGCATAGGCTATTGTGTAGAAACCGTTGTTGTTGAGTTGGTCAATCAGGGTGTCTAGAACTATGTTTCATAGTAGTGGTGATAGCACCCCTCCCTGTGGACATCCCCTCGTAACCATGCCTCTAACAGAAACGTCTTCTACATTTATGCTTATTGCTCTACTAGAGAGCATACTAAATATCCATTTGCTTATGGCCAGGGGAACATTCCTAACGTTAAGCTGTTGGGTGATAGTTGGGAATGTGGTTTTGTCAAACGCTCCCTCAATGTCTATGAATATACCTAGGGTGGATTCTTTATTATCCAGCGATCTTTCAATTCTTCCCACTACATGATGCAGTGCAGAATCGGTAGATCTTCCCGAAGTATATGCATGTTAATTTGGGTGAAGTGAGTTATGAACCAGAACTTCATCCCTTAGTCAGTAGTTTTTTAACCACATAAGAAAATATTGAGAGAGACGTGGGATTACTACTTGTTCACTCCGTAAAAAGATGTTGCAATAAGTAACAGTTGGTTAAAAGATTACGTCCTCATTAATTTAACTAATCATTTTTGTAGATGATATCAAACAATAAAGCCACTATTATGAATTATTTTTTCTAAACTCCCAATTAATAATCGACTATCGATATGCCGAATATCGTACCTAGTTAAGAGAAGACTATAAAGAAAACATACAAAAATTACACACCTCAAATACTTCTTGATTTACCTCTCCCAGTATCCAAAATAGGTGTCATGATGTTGATATCAAGCATGTGTTCATATGATATAAAACTCATTCGATTAATTAAAACTTGATAGATAAATCAAACTAAATAATTAAAAAAACAAATTAAGTTACCATCTTAGCCGCGATGGTACTCGTACGTTAAAATTAAATTAGTTCCATAAATTACGTGTCAGGGCGACAACCGTATTGAAATAAAAATAAATTTACTGTTATCACAACTAGATCTGGACGTCAATCTGTAGATTAAAACTCGGACTTTTTTTAATATATTGCATTCTTTTTGATCGTAAACTTTTTCGACTTTCTGATGTTGATATTTATTGGAAAACTTTCTTCAAACCATTTTAATGATTAGATTGTTAGTTTAATCACCAAATTTCCAAGTCGCAAAGGAAATACAGTATTTGTGAGTTAACAAAATCATTATTTTATACATAAAGTACAAAATTAATATACCTTAAGTTGTTTGTGTTTTTATAAGATTTGTTTAAAGACTATAAAGAAAAATTTCAATTATGTTGTGTGTCTGTTTGGTTATAGTGTGTTTTAAAAGTAAGATAAGAGTTAGTTCTTAGAGTACCAATCTCCTAGACTCAAAATATTGTAGCTGTTTACCAATAAAACGAGCAGTTCTAGTTTATGTAAATATTTATATTTATTTACAATTTTACAGGACGATAATATATTATCAACTAAACTTAAGTCATAGTGTCTTGCAGACAGGCGCTATTGGGAACGCTAACGCTGAATTGTATGCGTTAATGCGTTTATGCTTGTTTTACCCTTATCCTTCTGATCAATGGCAAAAACATCTTGAAATTCTATCAGCATAGACTTCTCTTTTTTGTCCGTTCAACATCAAGGTCTTGGCAAGTTTTAATCACCATCTCAACAAGCTCCTTTGGATACTTAGATTTCAATATTCATAGAACAAATCGAAGCCACGGGAACACACTGTGCAATCAAAGTTCTTCTACTGCTCCTTTGGATACTTAGATTTTGAAGATTTTTTCATTAATATTCATAGAACAAATCGAAGGCTCGGGAACACACTGTCCGATCAAAGTTCTTCTACTTAATAGCAGTTCCCTTTAAATTCATAACTCTTACAGGAACGACATCTCGAACTCTCACCAAAGCTTTTGCCGCTAGGAACTCGGCATTCTCCACATCTTCGACCTTTCTTAAACTTCCCTCTCGGCAGTGACCATCAAGTCTGGCCATTAGAATTACTGGCCACTATTACCCAGTAATGTTACATCATAAGTAGTTAGTAAGCTGATAACATCTTCTTGTCTTCATGAAATGGCAACTCTGTACCATTGATCTCGAGAACTCCATTTTTGACATTCAATACAGCCCCAACTTTTCTTAGTAAATCCATTCTCAATATGAACTCGTCGGAGATCTCTGAAATTAATACTCTGTGTTTCACTGTAGTCTGGCCAATGGATAATGACATATTAGCCTCGCCATATACATTAATTAGCTCACCAGTTGCTGTTTTAAGCCTTACTGTTGCAGGCGATAATTTAAGATAGCTTCGTTCTACTTCTGGACGTGCAATAGTTCTTGTTGCAACTATATCTACCAAAAATGATTTAAATTTATTATTGATATGATCCTCGATGTACAAGCTATGAATTCCACCGAAGTACGTAATGTTAACAGTTACTATGGGGGCTTTGTTTCTCGAGGTCGCAGTGCCCTGGTGGACCCGTTCTAGTTGTCCGACTGTTGTATCATTTTCTTGCAATTACAGCGAATGTGGCCTACGTCACCACAATTCTAATATCTGGGCTCGCGTCTCTTCGGCATCGTGTTACGAACTACTTTTCGTACCATTTCTTCCAGACGTTCATCGTTTGGTTTGTCGCCTTCTTCAATGGTTCTTACTCAATGGCTCCCTAAAGTTTGACTAGCTGTTTCATGTTCCAAGACAATAGCAAGCGTTTCATCTAGAACTTTAAGTCTTGCTAGTCGTAAAGCTTTCCGTAATTCAATGTCTTTCAACCCATTTGCAAAAAGTTGAACAGTTATTGTTTGGAGTGCGTCAGACTGTTTCAACAAATCTATTTTATAAGTTACGGTAATCTGGACTTTCAAAATTATATTTTCTATAATATGATTAAAACAGTCATATAATAGAAGCAACGTATTGGGGTATGACAATCTGGTAGAGGTGAAATTCACAGAGAAATAGAGCAATAATCAACAGTTTGTTGTTTAATATATACCTTATTTTTGTAAATTAAAATATAGTATCTGTCATATATATCCGATATAAAAGAAGATATATTGAAATACCCATATACAATAACTTCACAATCAATAAACGTGTTAATAATAATTTAAAATTACTTAAAACAATTAAATTATTTACTTAATTATGTTTAATTATAGTTACTGATACAGACGGTTGACTGTGTGTCAGCCAAATGGAATAAATTAGCTAATAAATAAATGAGGGAGTATTTGAAAAAACGGTCGAGCACGTCGATTTATGCATAGTTGCGCATTTTTTCCATAAAAACTTTTTATACGGGGTGTACCAGATAACGGTGGCCAACACCAACTTGCTCATTTTAAATAGAACACCCTGTATATTAATTAATTTTTAGATCCCCCAGATCATTTTAGATATTTTTTGAGTACAATGTCCTATACCTATCTTCGACTGTTTCAGAAATATTAAGTAAAATGCAAAAATTCACATTTAAAAAAGAAAATTATCTATTTGCCGAAAGTCGCTACAACATATTCAAAAACTTCTAAATAATACAAATCTAAACAATAACTGTTAAGTAGATGTGAAATGCTCCCACGAACGTCTTGGCAACACTCTAAACTATGAATAGAAATTTCTTTTAACATTACTCAATCGCAAGCGTTATTCGTCTTCGTAAGTCAGTTAAGTCAGTAGGTTTAGTTTTGTATACAATACTTTTCACATATCCCCATAAGAGAAAGTCTAATGGCGTCAAATCAGGGGATCGTAGTGGCCATTCCATCGATCCTCGATTTTCTATCCACCGATTTGGAAATATTTGGTTGAGGTACTGCCGGACATGGATTTGGTAGTGGGTGGTGCTCCATTTTGTTAAAACCATATCATATTCGCTGGAACTTGTGGGTTTCCTGGATCAGTATACAAGTTGGCCAACGTTGGAACTACATTATTTTGTAGCAATGCTAAATAATTGTCGCCATCCAGATTGCCATCTATGAAAAAGGGACCTATGATATGATGTTCAATAATTTCTGCCGACACGTTAACCTTCTCAGGGTATTGAGTATTGCCTTCTCTCATCCAGTGAAGATTTCCCTGGACCAATAGCGGCACTTTTGCCGATAAGCATGACCGTGAAGACTAAAGGTGCACTCATCAGAAAACAAAACATGTTCTAATTGGATCATATTGCTGTTTAACATTGCCATCATTTGTTCACAAAAATACGTTCTCCTGTCAAAATCATCTTCAATGAGCTCCTAAGTGTGTATAATTTTATAAGAATGCATTTTGTTTACTTGTAATATTCGAATAAGCGATGAATAGCTAATATCGAGTACTGGGGCTGCTTTTCGAATAGATGTATGTGGGTAACTCAAGCATAACAGCCAAATTAGTATCCTCATTCATTGCATTGGCAGCTTCTTTTTTACCTTCCTAACATGACTCAGCTCGTGGAATTGCTTCTTTATTTTACTAATTGTCCCTTGAGATATGTGCGGCAAATCAGGAAATGCTTCGTGAAATAAATGAGCTACTTCCATTTCTGTTCGTGTCTTATCTCCATAGCCAATCATCTGTATAGTTGTAATTTTGTGCATTTCTATCAGATGAACCATTTTCTGGCTTGCAGTTAATGAAATTCAAACGACTATAACACTGACAACTACTTCTCTCGTGGACCAATAAAACATTGGCGTTTTAGACCAAAGTAGACAATTTTTTGTTTTTTTTAACATATCAATAAAAAGGAATGGCTTAAATAGTTTTTGCTTACTTTATCATTAGCAAATGGGCAAACAGTATTAAGAAAGTGGTAGCAACTTTCGACAAATAAATAATTTTCTTATCTAAATGTGAATTTTTGCATTTTGCTTAATATTTCCGAAACAGTCAAAGATAGGTATAGGACATTGTATTCAAAAAATGTCTAAAATGATCTGAGGAATCTAAAAATTAATTAATATACAGAGTGTTTTATTTAAAATAAGCAGGTTGGTATTAGCCACCGTTATCTGATACACTCCGTATAACAAGTTTTGATGGAAAAAATGTGAAATTATAAATACTAATCGACGTGTTCGACCGTTTTTTCTAATACTCCTCTATTATAGCTATTATCCCATTTGGCTGACACACAGTGTATGTAAATACAGTATGCGAGAATATTTATGTGATGTGTGGTAAAACAAAAATAGTTCTTTAAAGTTTTGTGCATACATAATTTTATTGACATTCTTAGTACTTTCATAAAACCACAATTATTAAATAAAGTAATACAAATTACAATTAATCAAATAAAAAAATTTCTACTCACTCAATGGTACACCTAATGATCAACGACATGCTGGCGATCCCAAGTCCGCTCCCCGATACAATAAAAATCTCGACAAATTCCCGTCTCCTCTTGAAATATTGCGCCACCATCAACGTAGAGCAATCCCGTGTTATCCCAACTCCGATGCCACCACCGTGCCGTAGCTGCAACAATAAATTTCAGATTTCGCTAAAAAGCCCATAAGCATTAAATTCCTGAAAAATTAGGCCATATTTCGGACGTATGTATATGGATTTGAAATGGAAATAAAAATGAGATTATTAAAATGTAAATCATTTTTTTTCCATTATCGTTCATGAGAATAGGAAAAACTCAGATTAAATGAATGGTGTGTCACTGAAAAACGAAAAAGTGTAAGCTATTAGAAACATCTTTTTTAATCATTTTTTATTGTACATAAATAACAGACAAATAAAAATATTTTTTCAAACTTTGTATACTTAAATAATCTGACTTTAAAATAAAAAGTAAAAATCCGAAGATTTCTACTTGTTCGAAACCAAAATTCTAACATCCTTTTTGTCCTCTCTGTGTCAGGTCTTGTTTCCTGCCGCGTATATCATTATTGGTCTGCTGACTGTTTTGTAAATTCTGCCTTTCATTTTTTTCCCGATATTTTTATTTCTCCATATTGTTTCATTCAGGCAGTCTGCGGCTCTGTTTGCTCTATTCACTTAATCTCCCACTTCAGTTTCGAGCTTTCCGTAGCTAGATAATGTGATGCTTAGATATTTAAACTCCATCACTTGTTCTATTATCTGACCTTCCAGCTCCAATTTACATCTTAGTCAATTTGCTGTTGTAACTATGCATTTTGTCTTCTTTGAGGAAATTAACACGTTAAATTTTCTGGCGGTTATATTAAATTGGTGCAGCATACGTTGTAAATCATCTTCACTTGAGAAGTAGTATAGCCGTCGTCTGCATAGCAGATTATTTTAAGTTGTTTTTCTACTATTTGGTATCCTTTTTTAGTTCTTACTTTTTTTATTATTTCATCCATATTCAAGTTGAACAATAGAGGACTCAATGAATCTCCCTGTCTTACCCCATTGCCAGCTTTAATAGGTTCGGTTAGTTCTTCTTCTACATTTACTTTCATTGTGTTGTTTTGGTAGATATTTTTGATCGTTTTGATTATTCCTAGAGGTATCTCTCTTGCGTACAGTAAGTTGATAACGTCTTTTAATTTGACCCAGTCAAATGCCTTTGTAAGGTCCACGAAACATAGATATGCCGGTTTGTTGTATTCTAATGATTTCTATTGCATTTGCCTCATTATAAATATAGCGTCGCTGCATGATCTTCCAGACCTAAAACCTTGTTGTTCTTTTGCTAGTGTTATCATTTCATTCAATTTATTTGTTATCACTTCGGTTGTTAATTTTAGTGTTCTGTTTAATAAATTAAATCCTCTGTAATTTTCGGGTCCGATTTGTCTTCCTTTTTGAAGAGAGGTATTAGGATGCTTGTTCTCTATTCTTGAGAAATTTTGTTTTGTTCTATTATGATGATGATTTCTGTTGTGTATATTTTATTGAATAATCCCACTACTTTTTTATATCCAGATTCTTGTCATTGATCCAGATTCATTACCATTGAACTCGCTTGGTATTTATTAGGATATTTATGAGCTTTTATCGACCTTTTTAGAGA